AAAAAAAAAAAAAAAAAAAAAAAAAAAAAAAAAAAAAAAAAAGTTCATCCCTAAGCAAAGGTATGAAAATCAGTGGCCGCAGTTGGCATTGAAATTGCAAAATTGATCGATCCACGCGCGCGCCGTTAAACACCGGAGCGATGACGAACACACGAGCGCGTTAAAAAGGCCGGGACGACGCTCAGCGCGCGTTGCTTTAATAATAATTTACGAGCGCCAGGGAATTTGTTTTTTTTTTTCTTCTTTTTTTTTTTCTTCCTTTTGTGCCCCTCGATCTTTTTACTCTTTGCATAAGAGCGCGCGCGCACGCGCCTGCGTTTATATACGTACGAAAGACGAGGATATATACACACACGTATGTATACCTTTTATCTTCTTACATACCCCCCGACTTTGTGTAAAGGAGCCGTCGTCGTCGGGCGCTCTCTGTATGTTAATTACACGCCAACCTGCGTTTACGCTGCGGATAGCGTCTCTCGCGGCGCGTGTTATTGTAACGAGGCCGCGATCCCCTCGCCTCTTGTCTTTTGTAGGCCTTTTACACTTTTTCTTCTGTCTCTCCCCTCCACACAATAATTGTTGGCGTTTAATTTGTTTTTTTTTTTTTTTTTTTTTTTTTCTTCGTACGAAAAATGGGGTCGCCATCTACTCCGTGCACGGTGTACTCTTCTTAGCTCGGTTCCTTCCTTCTTCCCCGTCCGAGTTTATCCACGCCGATCGAGTATCACGATAGCTCAAGCCTCGAGCCAATCTTGAGTAAAAAAAAACCTTTGTTCGTATTTTAATTTCTACGAGTCACGTGCAAAGAGAACGAAAAAAAAAAAAAAAAAAGAAAAAGAGCGCATTTAAATTGCGTTGGCACAAGATATTCGCAAACGAATGCAGCTTCCTCTTTGGACCTTTTTTGGTGTTTCCTCCCCTGGCCCACCACCACCGGCGTCGTGGTTATAACCGCGCGAGTAAGCGAGTAGGTATGCGGCCCAGCATTTCTGACTGACAGCTCGACTGTTCCGCGGCCGCGTCTTGTTTTCGCGCGATACATCTTCCGCGCGCGCTTTCTTTTACCCCCCCCCCCACCCTTTGTCCGTTGCCTCTCTCTTACGCGCAAACTGAACCATATAAATACACACCAAGGGAACTGCGCGTATATTATAATAGCTCAGCCCTTTTTTCCCCCCCCTACATTGTTTTACGCGCACTTTTCTCTCTTGGGCTTTGCTTTTCGGGAAATTTCAATCGTTGTACTTATCCATAGCACAATGACTTATCGTATAAATCTGTTGCGAAATCGACGCTCAACATTTTTTTGAACTGTACGAGACACTGAGTATATATACCGGTAGGTATAGGTAAGGAGTAAAGGACGCGTAAGCATATATATAATTCTTGACTGTCCGTTGTAGAGGCGTATACTTATTCTTCTCTCTCTTGGATGCTGCGCTACTCCTCGTCTCATCTCTGACGCGAGTCGGAGAGAAGAAGAGCTACTATATATACATATAGGTTGCAGTCCAAAAGGAAGGAGGGACACAGTGGTATTTGGTGGGGAGAGAGAGAGAGAGAGGCACCCTCGGGGCCCCTATAACGCGAGCTTTGAGCTCGGCTAGCTTTCAGAACGTTGCCGACTGCCGCGACGGTAGCACACACGTACGACTTTGGCTCTACACTCCCGTCAAAACAAAAAAGCTCCCCGCGCACTCGACTGTGTCTTTTCGCTTTTTTTTTTCCCCCCCCCCCCATTATATTTTCTTTCGTCCCACATGACCCGAGCGCGCGCGCGCCGACACTTCCATTGACCCTCGGAGTGCGGGTGACGTATAAAAAGTGCACGACAAATTAACAGTACACGCAGTGACACGCCCCGAAACGAAATCAGGAAGGATCGAGAGTACCTATAATAGCCGCGGGGGCAGAAGGACAAGAGTGATATATAAACAGATACGAAAAAAAAAAAAAAAAAAAAAGAAAGAAAAGAAAAGGGTGGCGGCAAGATGCACACGCAGGAGAGCGTGTACATGCAGAACGCGTACTACATGAACGACAGCTCCGGAATCCCAAACAGCGGCGAGAGTTCGACGAGCAACTCGCCGGACCACCTCGTCAGCCGGCTCTCGCCCAGTACCAACCTGGTCGACCTCAGCGCCCCGACCATACCTTCCCTCTTCCACCACAACCAGCACCAGGTGGTTTTCCCCCACCAGCTGCTCCAACACCACCAGCAGGAGCAGTACCCGATGCAGCAGCAACTGGTTGCCCAAGGCTACGACCAACTGCCCTACTTGGATCCGCTCGTCCAGCAGCAGCCGTCCCAAAAGATGCACTTCCCGTACGAGTACGTGCACCAACAGCCCCAGCAGCACCACCACCACCACCACCACCACCAACAGCATCTGCACAACGACAAGCTGCACCAGTCGCTCCCGGGCGCCCTCAACGAGTTCATCCTCACGGACGAGGGCGACTCCATCCAGGGCCACCACCAACAGCAGCATCATCATCAACAGGTGTACTCGTCGCCGAGCTACTCCCCGGGGGGCTCGAGCATCGAGCTGCCGGTCACCGGGTACTCGGGCTACGACCACACCGACGACGACGAGGAGGCCAAGCTACCGGCCCGGCCCCAGTACGGCTGCGGGCTGACGCGGCGCCTCAAGCAGGAGAAGGAGGAGGCCGAGGAGCCAGTGGTGGCGACAACCAAGCTGGAGGACCGCGAGGAAGCCGTCAAGGAGCACGTGGAGGAGGTGGAGGGGAGAAGGAGCACCGGTGTAGCGGCCCGGGGTGCCCCGAAGCGCAAGCGTACCCCGAGCGCGGGGGCTGACTCGGACGGCGGGGCATCCTCGTCCTCGGGGAGTCAGAGCAGCAGGCCCAGCAAGTCCCGTCGGCGAACCGGAGGAGGAGGAGGAGGAGGAGGCAGTGGTGGTGGTGGGGCCAGTCAGGAGGAGCTCAACAGCCAGCGGAGCCAGGCCAACGAGCGCGAGCGCGCCAGGACTCAGAGCCTCAACGACGCGTTCGCTGCCCTCAGGAGGAGCATACCCACCCTGCCGAGCGACAAGCTCAGCAAGATACAGACCCTCAAGCTCGCCTGCAAGTACATCAACTTTCTCTACAAGGTGCTGCAGTTCCGCGACGGCGACCGCGACAACGAGGACACGAGTTAGTACATATTATATTCAATATATATATATATAAATGCACACACCATCATTATTCATTATAGTGGTCCATCGTTTGGGTGGACCGCGACGCAGGAGGCTATGTGTTTTATGTATATAGGTGCACCCACTCGAAAACTAATGCCCCTGCTGACAAAAATTGTATAGCTTCGGTGCTTGATGCCACTCGAAGGAAAAAAAATCTACTGCGTTTTATTGCTCGCTGCGCTTGTCTCGTCAATACACATGCGTGGAAACGATAGGCCTGCACTTTTACCATATAATTGCTAAATTAATAAATATTAAATTTCTTTGTTGCAGGCGAACAGAAACAAGCAATATTGAAGACGGCCCGGGAACTCGTCAAGTCGGCCCAAAACTCGTGCAATTACCAGACGGCCCACGAAAAGCTCTCGTACGCGTTCAGCGTTTGGCGGATGGAAGGTGAATGGAAACACAACGTCTGACGGGCAATCGTGTGCGTATGCATAAAAAAAAATATTATACTTACACACATACAACGGCTCATTCCGAGTCTCGCTCATGTGATTTTTGTTCAATTATTGTACACATTTATATAGCTATACACATATATACCATTTGAACATTATGATAGATGCGACGATATGACTGTGTAGATGTAATTACAGTAGGGGTTAGCCGATCGACTGAAACGACACATTGGTGTACCTATATTTATTATTTGCATGCATATAGCAATTAAGATTGTACATTTTTGTATATAATTATAGCGTTGCGTTGTTCGATTCGCGAGTAGCAACGTGATCCATAATTCAAATATAAAAGTGGGCATATTTAAATAATCGGTATCGGTCGGGGTGTATGTATGTTGAGGTTTGAGCGTCGGTGCACCGGAGTCAATGGAATTTTGAAATTCCAAGGCGTAGGTCGAAGCGCGGCTGGAGAGTCGCTAATACGAGAGGCATCCACTCGATGCATTGTGCCGGTGCGGGCCCGACAAACAATCGGACACCTAAATAAGCGATTATTTCTGAAGAGGACCGGTCACTTAAATCACCTCCCGGGACCCCGACTCGGCAGGTATACGCGAACAATGCCGATCCCCAAAGTCGCTTGCCTGCATCCCTCTCTCTCTCTCTCTCTCTCCTTATGCGTCCGAGCTATAGGTGTAAAATTTGTCGCAGGATTTATGAAAGGACCGCTTGGGCTTCCGCACGTGGCTCCCTCCGGAAGCTGCAATCGCCTCGCTCGTCACGTTCGGCTCCTCTCATCCAGCGCTTTCTTCTTCTTCTTCATACTTCGGCCCTCCTCCCCCCCCCCTCTCTCTCTCTATACTTACTATCGACAAACAAATCGCTCAAACGACCGGCGTAAACACTGTTTTTTTTTTTTTCCAACTCTCGATGATTTTTTTTGTTTTCACTCTTCGACAAAGTTGAAGGGATATCTGCTCGAGTGGGAACAAGAGAGGAGGAGTAAGGGCGGGGTGTAGGAAGGAAAGCGCCTCAATAAGGTCTATTTCGGGGCAAGATCGATCCCAACGGCAGCCGTGTGAATATTTCGGCGGTGGTCGCAGCTTTGGTTTATTTTAAACGCGAGCCAAAGCAAACTCGCTGCACTTTAACGAACCCGCGCCCGCCCCGACCAGGGGGGGGGGGGGCAAAGCACGTACGGCGCGCATGGTAAAATGATTACGCGCATTCCGGTGAAATTCAATATTTTCTAGCCAAAAGTTTCGGGGGGTAACGTCAAGCAAACACTTATACCGCGTTTGCTCGATGGAACTCAATTGGGGCGCAGTGCCGATTGATGGACTTTGTTTACCCCGAGAGGCGTTCCTATATTTATGTATACCATATACCATACACGCCAAGATGGTCTATCTTTACGCGTACATCCACACAAATTATTTTTTACCCGCAAAACGTTATAAATATACATATAGTATCTTGTAAAGATGCCACACCGTTCATTGTATTGTGTTTTCTTTGGTAAACGAGTGACAATAATGGTTCGGCGTCAGAGAGTCAAGTAAACGAGAGAACAAAGAAAAGGTGTTGGCGCGCCCGGATCACCAAGTTTTTGATTGTACGTTGAACGAAGACTCCCTGCAGTTGTGAATTTTGAGGTTTTTTTTTTTTTGGTTGAAAAAAAAAAAAAAAAAGAAATCTTTCGTTATAAAATCTCGCGATACGTAATTGACACGTTATTCTCGCGCAGTCGTGCCGTTGCTGTTCGCGGTAGATGTATAATATGAGCGACGCCAGAGAAGACGGGTGGGAGCACCCGAGAGACAACGAGACGAGATCGTCGAGACAAAAAAGCTTGAGGCGCACAAAGAGAAGCTAACGAAAAAAGGGCCTTGTTTCGCTGTTAATTTAGGCACTCCGACCCTTTCTTCGCTTGTAAAAAAAAAAAAAAAAAAAAAAAAAGAAGAAAAAATAACGTTTATCGATTAGCGATTGTATTTATAAATAACTCTCATAATGTTGCCTTAACGATAATGCGTGTATATATAAGAATGCTAGCGACCGTTTATGTATATTATATATATTTCGTCGTCAGCCATACAACAGATTTGCCAAAGTAAAGTTTTACAAAGTTTATAACTATTATATCTCATCAGAAACACGCTCTTGTGGTTTGTAAATATGAAAATAGTGTACATATTTGTCTATACGTGTTACGAGTAATGTATAGCTATATTTAATTTTTGTATGATATTCTGTGAAAAAGTTTCACATGCGGCGAGTAACGTGAAAACGTTGAAAATTATTGAAAAAAAAAACCGTGCCTCACTGTGAGCCTGCGTTTTTAGTTAAAAGTAACATAGTGAAATGTAGCCGTACGNAAAAAAAAAAAAAAAAAAAAAAAAAAAAAAAAAAAAAAAAGAAAAAAAGAAAAAAAAAAGACAAGAAACGTTGTTGAGATGTTGGCCGGTTGATGCATTATCGATTTAAACAAATTGTCAAACTATTTTAGCGTTTAAACATTGTATAACCACACGAGGATCTATAGAGTAAAGTGTTCTTTGTTGCGTCGAGGTGGATCGAGTCACTCGAATTGAATCCAACGATCATTATGTACATAATCACATGACACTGTACTGTATTGTACTTGAATCCTATAATTTAATTGTGTAAGACACGCTTCCATTCCTTAGGATAATACTCAGTATTTTTATATGATAAATATAATTTGTTAAAAAACATAAATCCACTGGTTTGTTTGTTTGTTTTTTTCTCCCTCCAAATTTTCCAATCCCATGCAGATAAAATTATAAATATATGGACGCCGATTGAACTTTATAAGTGAAAAACGATGAGTATATAATGTATAATACCATCATAGCGAAGACCGAGGAGCACCAGTGCAAATATTATCGCAAGAAAGAAACGCTATAAGAGCACAATATATGTGTACAAGGAGCTGGAGGAGGAGGAGGAGGAGGAGAGGGTCTTGGGTCGGGCTGGCTGGCGTTCATTGGCTCGGAACGGTGTCATCGGTAACACGGCTGGCCAATAAAACCGAGCCCCGACAGACAGAAGGTGTCTTCAAAGGGGCGGGAGGAGAGGGATAGGGACGACGCGACGCCCACCATCATCGCGCTCATTGCTAGGCCCGTATAGACATTCCTTTTTTTTTTTTTTTTTTTTTTTCCCTTCCATCATCGATTTCAAGCTCAACGCGCAGAGCCGCGCCGGCCCATTATCATCGAGGTCCACACATACCTATATACTTGTAAAATATTTTAATGCCCAGACGATCGAGTCAAATGTATGATAGGGGGAGGGGGATGCAGTTGATTGGACTTATATATAATAGGTAAATATGCAATGATTGATCAACATGGAACATGTTGCACCAAAGTTGTTGTCGGTTCGGACAGTTGAAACGCCACTTGGAAAAAATACCTATACGTATATATTATGGTCGAATGGCTACATGAATTGTGCATCAGGTACTTATAGGCATAAAGGTCCAAAACAACGATTTCGAGAAATATTTGGGGAACGGCACAAAGAGACGGTAACGGCGCTTCGCCGAACCCTCGTGCCGATAAAAGCTCGCGAAAAGTCAGAAGCGCGCTCTCGTATTATAAAACGGAGGCCGCGAGAGTATGTGCGCGTACGAGGCGTAAGAGCCCCTTTGAAGAGTGAGGCGACGACGATGGTTTATATATGTGGAAACTAGAGGAGAGGAGATACATATATACATATATATATATGTGTGTGGGTGATCGGTTATGACGGTGTATGGGTATTCCTCCTCGCGGGGTCGCACGGGCGGGTGGTAGGTACTCATCGCTTCATGGAGTAGCTATGTATGAGGCTTCAAAGAGACGCCCGCGCCTCTCTCGAATTTCCATCACTTGCCGCGGGTGAAGATTTTTCACAGTTCCAAAATATTACGTGAAAACAGAAATAAAAAAAAAAAAAAAAAAAAAAAACGATTTGGAAGCTCCGTCGAGTGATTCGACGCGTACACATCTGCTCCTGATTGAGAAAATTTTTTCACCCGGATGACGGCTATCGAGTAGGTACATAGGTATACACACATATAGTGTTATGTCACTGTCGGTCGGCTCGAATTTATCGTTCAGTTTGACATTGTGCGGCGCGATCGACCGACTGCTATATATATATATTTACAGTATAGAATCGGCCGTTGCGGAAGATTATTTTTATTGTCACCAGTTGTGCAGAAACGAGTTGTCTCTCTCTCTCTCTGCATCTCTACATCTCGCAGTAAATAATAATAAATGCATGTAAAATAATGGTACAAAGGAGCAACGAGATGATTACGTAACGAAGAGTCGAAAGTGCAGTAGGTATACGATTGTTCATCGCATGGTATATGGGGAATGTATCGGTATAGGCCGAGTGGAAGGGAAGAAATGAAAAAAATGGCGCGGGAAGGCTGTACTGCCTTCGGTGAGAAGAAGCTGGCCGGGGAAGGGAGGGGGGTGGGCGGGTGCGCCCCAAGGATAAATGAGCCATCTCCGATGTCCTCGGCACCGGAAGCGACAGCGACGTCGTCCCTCTTCTCTCGGCGGCCCTCTGCTCTCCTGTATAGGGAAAAGAAAAAAAAAAAAAAAAAAAAGAACGAAAAACAAAGTCCAAAGATAAAGAAAAAAAAAAATCCCTTCCACCGTTCCACCGGCACGCTGCGTATACACCCTATACACACGCTCCCCGGGGAAGAGGACTATACACTGCACGCGCGCGCGCTTCGTGGAATTATATAGGTACCTACTAAGCGAGCGGGGAGCACACCTCCGCTTCCTCCGATGCGGCTTCGATTTTCGGCCGGCCGGTACTCATTAGCTCCGAACTAGTATCGGTTTATACCCTAGTTGAGGCTCATTGGGTTCCCTAATGAGATTGGCGCATACAATTACCATGTATACATATACATCGTATGGGAAGTCGGGGGGAGAAGAACTCTTAATTTATGTCCTGCGTGAAAGGATCGCCACATCAAGCGAATCAAATTTTCGCTATTGTATTATTTGATCCTTTGAAAATGTATACCTACGTAGCACTTGTAATATCTACCTATAATTGTGATCGGTAAATCATATCTAGCGATTGAAAATATATATTTACACGTGATGGGAAAAGACATGTATACATGTATAGGTTTTCCATTAAAAAAGCCATTAGGTGTATATATACATATGAGAGTTTATTATGCTATATAATGAACAAGTATGTGTAGGTGTATACGTGTATGCTGCAGTTGTGCCCCCGTTTGCGAGGATATAAAAAAAAAAAAAAAAACAACAACTGACGACCCACCGAAAGAGGGATATATAATATATCTGTTGCATGGCTTGGTCCCGCCCGCGTGAGCCGCCACCCGATCTTCCCGTAAATAATATACGCAGTATACCTATACGGTGCGAGGGAAACGAGCGCATATTATATAGGAGAATTGAAAAAAAATGCCCTCGCTCCTCCCACATGCCCTTTCTCGCACTTTAATTGCCGCGATAAAATTTAAATAAGCGCCAGCACGTGGGCCTCGTTTGGTGTTTCAAGTACCTATATACCCATGTCCACAGTGTCCACACCAACTTTGCTCGACGAACAAAAGTTTCCGCCCAACAGCCATATACTTAAGTCCCTTCTTCTCCCTGGCGCCTATAATAAGTACCTCCTGCCGTACGTCGCGCTTGCTCTACTTCACATTTTACCCGATTGTACCTAATAAGGTATAAGTACATGTGCCTCCTTACTTAATGCTGAATTTTTCCCTTCGATGGAGCTAGTCCAAGTGCAAATCATCGGGCTGGATATCGTTAACCCCAACTTGTTTTCCGTTAAAAACTGTTTTTACGCTGAAAATGTTAGGGATTATTGCGCTTTTTATCCGACAAAAATATTTTACAGGTTTACGTATAGAAAAGGGGAAAAGGAATGAGATATCTTGAAAACAATTTTTTTTTCTTCTGTATAAATTCAAAAGTTGGAGTGCACAATATACTGACTGTACCGATTTGAATCTAAAGAGGAGCAGATCGAGTTTCATTTTCGGCTCATACCGAGATTTTTCTCACAGTGAGATAATGGCCATTGTACAACAAAGTTGTTGAGGCAAAGTTTATAGATTTCATAAAACGATTGCAATTTTTTCTAAAAGTCTCAATCGCATAATCTTGCACATTGAGTAAAAAAAAAACAAAAAAAAAAAAATCTTTACACCATATAATTTAATCAACCATATAAAATATCTTAAATTCGTGGAAAAGTTTTTTTTTTTTTTACGTTATACCTATTGTAGTTTGACGTTGATGCAAGGTTATACTCGACCAATGCATTTCATCGGACAGTCAACTCGTATACAGCCTCCCTGATGCGCAGCAAGAGAAGAAAAATCCACTTCCTGGCCGAGGCTAACGAGTACTCTATACACCGCGGGAGGATATATACTAAGAAAATCTCATACACGCTTCCGCCCGAGCTACAATAATCGTGTGATCCGAGACGTTTTTCACTTTTCTTTTTTTTTTTTTTTTCTTCTTACGCGCCTTACTTTTTACTTACACGCGTACGTTTTTATTCTGAATTACAAAAAAACGTAGATAATAAGTCCAATAGTTTGTTTGCAACTGGAAAATCTAGTGGATGCTACCCCTTACTTGCAAAAATTTTTCTGTAAACATAACCAATTGCTTTATTTACAATTTTGATCGACGATCGAGATTTGGAACATCGGAGACATAAGTGTATTTTTCAATCTCCCAACTCAATAAGATAACAGTTACGTGGAAAAAGTAAAAATATCTTTATTTTATTGTATTGAAACAATTTTTTTGTTGTCGCTAAATTGTTCTTCAATCGATTTTCAGACATTTTAAGGGTCACTTTGCAACTACCATTAAAAAAAACACACACATTTCTTCATAGCATTCTTGGAGTCGTAAAACAGTAAGATTCACACGATGTGTGTGCATTTGTAAATGACCAAATGTTGAAGAAAAGGGCAAGTAGCTAAGCCGATCCCCACATTTCTGTGTTATTTTACGCTCGGATAGATTACTATGTTTGCTCCTTGACTTCTGTGGAAAACTTTGCACGGCAGGATTAGGGTATTTTTTTAAAGCTAGGACGTTTCGTACGTGTATACCTATACATAACGAGTATATAGGTGTGCTACCACACGTGCCGGACCTGCATCCAGGGCCTCCGATGTCGCTGTTTATTTGTTTAAGGAGATAAGTAAGTATTTTTTGCTTTGCATTTAATGCATTTCATTGCGGGAGTGGCTCTGCAGCGGTATCCCGCGCGAACGGGATATTGCGTGCGAGCAGCAAACAACGCGTCATTCAGTTCCGATTAATCGCGCACCACTGGGTAGCGAGCTTTTATAGACAGATACTGTCTTTTTTTTTTTTTTTTTTTTTAGCTCTAGTTTCAATACTATTTTTTAAAGTCGATTGCGTTTTAGTGCGAGTCTACTTATCTTTTCCTCAAATACAAGTGCGACTTAAATAATTATGTTACTTATTGTTTTTTTTTTTTTTCCGATTAGGAAGACGTAAAATAATTGCAGTAAACTAGTGTATGATTTTTGGGATAAGAATAAACGCTCTTTCCGTTATGTTTCTAAGCAAACAAACGTATATTTGCAAGTTTACAGCTGTAACTTATATAATTTCTATTTACACTTTCTTTTCTTTCCTTCTTTCTTTNTTTTTTTTTTTTTGCAAAATTATAAATAATTACCACTGGCATTGTACGTGTGGATCACACAACAAAGCAATGATATAAACAACAACTTAGGAGAACAATTACTGTATCTTACAGCATAAAATAAATTTTTAATACTTTAAAGATTATGATACATTATTTTGTTAACATTAAGTTTTCTTCAATTGCTCAAAAGTACATGTAGAAATGTAAAAAGTTTGGATTGCATTAAACAATAAGAATCAAGTGTCAGCAATCGTCATTACTTAAGACAGTGTTAATGTGTTAAAAGCAAAAATATTGAATTGAAATTAGGTTTATAACTGTTGTGTAAAGATTTGCATGTAAACGATTACGAAAAAATCATCAGAAGAAAATATGTTCTACCGACTATAAATATTTACAAAATCCTCTTTTGTGTTCGCACATCCTTAAACTCTCTTTTTCATTAAAACTTTAACAGAATTTTTACTTGGCACTGTTGAACATTACCAACTTAAATTGTGTGCGCTAGAGAAGTCTTGGAATTGAACATAATTTGTATCTCTAATGTAGAATGCACGTGAAAAGAAGCATCAAATTCGAGTATAGAAACAATAACAAAATTTTTATGAAAATTACTAAGTAAATAAATTAATTAGCAAAAAGGCTCAAAAGAATAAGGGAAGATTTTTATTTTTCACAGTAATCTGACGAAACCAGAGTAGGAACTGAGATGTTCAGTGTCTCGATTTGTTCAATTCATACCCTGTGCTATTTTTATATATAAAAATCTATCATTAACTTTTTTTTTCTTTTAATTTCCTAACGCGACAATGAGGTAGTTGAAAGTTGCCATCATAATGGACTTACCGAAAATTTTTCGGATATCCGATGACTAATTTTTTCTTTAATTATCTTTCAACAAACTTTTGTATCGGTTCCAACAAATGTAAGCTTAAATTACTGCTGAACGTATTCTTGGGTGGCAATACTCCTGAGAACGTATTTGACAGCAAAACCAAAGACGGCAACACCGACCAACATGGCAATGTTCGTAAGTGTACTTTGAAGTGAACTTTGTTCAGTTTGCTGCTCACCACGAACAATGTTTGAACCTTCCGACATGGTTGACTGATGCCTAGCCTGTTTTTCCAATTCTTTTCTGCGTTCCAACTCTTTTTTGATAGACTAAAAATAATTTTTTTTTTTTTTTTCAAGTATTTTATAACAGCGTATTTTTCAACCACATAATTGATTCAATATTTATATACAACGCTTCTTGTTGCAAAAAAAAAGAATTTACTCACAGCAACAGTATCTGGAAACAATTCGCAAAATGTTTTATCTCTCAAGTTGTACTCTAGGCTTTGTCCTGCGAGAATTTTTTTCTCGTAATCTGGTGTGATGATTGCTCCCAAGGCTGAACTTGATTCAATCTAAAAAAATAAAACGAATTTATCATCAAAATTTTTCCATTCATCAAGTATACTTTATACATGTAATCAAGAACATGAATATTATACTTCATTATCTTGGATATTGTTTACCATAAAACTGAGTAGACCAATGAGAATTGTTGAGACACTCCATGCTGGATTCCATGTATCTGGATGGAAATCCGATATCGAAAGGCATAATTTTGTATTCACTTTGAATCTACCATTTGGCGTGGTCATGTAAATACTGGGTGGCTGAAATGGAAACTCCCCTGGGAAAATTAATTTGCCGTGATAAAAGCCACCTTCGTACGGGGTGTTTTCTGGCCCTTTAATTACATAGTGCCTAGGAAAATCGAGAACAAAAACATTTATTATTGTGATGATGTGAAATCTAACATGCAACATTGACACATTTCTGCAATTGAGTACTTACCACTCCAGTATATTGGAAGGAATTGGTTCGGCCTGTACATATGGGACAGGATCCTTTTTGAGTCTCAGGTAATCTTGTTTTAATCTGGCAGTAGCAGTGCCCGTCTTGCGGTTCATTGTTTTTTTTTAACAAATATGTCTTCTTCAGCTTTAACCTAAGCACCCTGGGATCCCCGAGTGGCTCGAGAACTATTGACTTGTACCGTCTCAACTTTCAACAACCTCAGGGAAATGTCAAAGGTCGCAACTCCAGAACCAGAACCGGATGGCTACTCCCCAGCTGACTAAGATGAGCGAGATCCCAAATGCTAGATCGATAAGTAAAGACAGGGAAAGAGAAAGAAAGAGGAAGAGAGAGAGAGAGAGAGTAACAAGCCGCGAGAAGAAATTAGGTTGTTTGCTCAAAGGCGAAAGTATTATTGTTTTTTATCCTCAATGAGCAAAAATGGCGCAGAGAGACGAAAGAAACGGAAAAACAATGAACGCGAGCACCGCGACAGGTAAATAACTTACAAAAGAAACAACGACTAAGTATGACCTTTAATTGTTAGCAATATATTTTAATAATGTTGTAGCCGTTGGTCACTCTTCACTGGCCACTCACTGCTGCTACAAACTCACATACGGGCGAACACAAACACCACCCATCCACCACTACCTCTCCACCAGCACACACCACGTCACGTCACTCTATCAAAGTGTCGTTTAATATGTACTTATTACGTCGTAAAGTGCACCAAAGCCCCAACTTATTATACCTACAGAAAGCTAATATCCGCGACCCAGCCAAGATAAGCTAGAGAGAGGTATAAACAAGTACTTGTATTTGTTGAACACAGAAATTTTCTCCCGTCGAGCTGCAGATTGCTTTTGACAGCAACCCGAGCAGACAGCGCTTTTTTGTCTCTCTCCCTCGGTCTTCACTTCCGTGTGTGAATTTGTTCTTGAATCACAATCACGGTAAGTAAGTATATATATTTTATTTTATTTTACTGCTGCAGCTGGTTCGCACTCTTACATGCACACACACACCTCACCTCACCTATTATTTATTTATGGCAACTGATGGCCTCTGGCTAGTTGTTAGCTGGCATCAAATAACGCAAATGCTGATAATACGTAATGTATCATAGCAAGCGCTCTTTTAGATTCAAAAATCTTTCAGTTTTTAATAAAGTTTAAAAAAAAATAATAGTATAAGCATCACTGACAAATACAAGTTTTTTAAAGCATAATATGAGTATAATTTTTATGTATAATAATAATCAGCGCCCATTCAAAATTAACACATTCTTAATCTCTGGTAATCACTGTGTGGGGGCAGCACTGCACGGGGGGCTACCTGCTCTGCTGGTAAGAGCGATGATTTAATTCTTAGAGAATATATACATCATAGAGAATGTATATATTCTCTAAGATACCATTCGGTTGGTTTTTTCTGTAATACCATTCCACCGTTCCTGTGTTATAGGGTTACTGGGTTACACCATTCCATCGTTCCTGTTTTATTGGGTTATACCACTCCGCGGTTCCTCTATTATACCATTTCGTTGTTTATGTATTATATGTGGGTGTAATAAATTCGAAATCACCACCAGCCAATACAATTAGTTACAGTTACGGATGTACTATACGTGACAACATTGCGTAGTTGGGGGCGCTACTGTAGATTTACTTCTATATAGTGACGTGTTCCGCAATTACAACAGAAGAAGCAGACGACATAGGTCTCCTTGCTCTTTTTCACGACTTTTTCTGATCGTTTCAACAAAACAAAGCAGACGACGGAACGTCGGAAAATATATATATATAATATATTTCATACGAGATTGCAATTTGTAAGCTCTAAAATTACGACGTCGTCTGCTAGATGGTGATACTTGTAAGGTCAGGTTAGGCGAAAAGATTTACACAAAAAGCCGAAAAGCACACACGCTTTGT